CCTCGGTGGCTTCGAATCCCACACAAACCCTCGTCAACTTAAGCCAAATAACTAGCTTTTTAAAATGGGACTATCCACAGCTTCATCTCGATAAAATACTCTTAACCTCCCCACAGAAATTTGGTATCTGAAGGCAACACAGCTTTCCAGGAGCAAATATTTCAGACCTTATATAGCAAAACAACGTACTTCCTATAAAACCATTATCAGAAACAAATCAATGCTAAAAACCACAACTTTACAACTTTACTCACCCTAAAAAAGAGCTTCAGGCAGACTTCAATCAAAATAGTTGCTTAATACTTTGTCAAACTTGAACTAAAGTTAGGGTACTAAACTCAATGAGCTAGACAAACATAGCTACCTGGAGTACTACAGCAAGTGCCAGTTTCATCAATTTATTTTTACATACTAATTTATTATTTAACTAGATTTAATGCTATTTCATATTCATTGCCTAAATATCTCAATCTATTTAAATTTATTTGCATACCAATAGAGGGTTCTTGAATAAGAGGAGATGCAGTGGCATTCAGACTCTGAACCAGACTACCCAGTTCCTGGAGGGCGCACACCATTACATGCTGGCTTGCAGCTACATCAGCAGCTCCTGATTTATTTTCGCTGTTAGCATCATTCACTACTGCTTCTGCAGAAAAGAAAACAAAAGTATCTTGCTTAACTACCGTTTGAATCACACCTGAATATATACAGGACAGAAAGGGACAGCTGAGTTTTGACATCAACCCTATATTAAAACAAAACCACAAGTTTGGTCATACTGTGAACTCGCAAAGCGAACACATTCTGAAGATAAATAGTTTTACAGCTATCAGCCAAACACAATCATCCAAAGACCATGAAAAACAGATGCCCAGCAGTTACTATGGATGGCAGTGCACTAAAAGGTAGGATTAATAGTATAACACAGCAAAAGCAAGTATACGCATATACAGCATGTGTGTATTGTATCTACACACAGTAACTAAAAATATAATCTTGACATATCCAGGTTCTGCATACAAACTTGCATGCATATATATGGAATAAAACTAAATAAAAAGACCTTTAGTAAATAATTAATCACAACCTCTAATCATCTTAAATTTATCCAATTATGTTCCTAGATCCCACTGCAGGTTCTTTCTCCTACACAACATTCCAGAAGCAGCAACTGTCACTTAATTAATGTTAATATGTTTACTACAGTACAAATTCAGAAAATCACCCCCCCTTATATGAAGGGAAGCAATCATTACCAATTAAAAATCCTTCCAATTTATCACCAAATTCATCAGAAATGGTCAAAAAACGAAACAGTTCTTGCGATCATCCAAATACATAATGGAATTTCCTGCAACTTTGACAAGGTGGCAGGAGGAGGAATTTTTGCAACCGTTTCATCTCAGAAGTAGCATTTCCAACAGACTTATTTTCCTGGAAGTAATACTTATTGTAATCGGAACCCCTTTAAGGTTCCATACCTACCCTATCAAAACATACCTACCCTATCAAAAAATAGTTATGAGAAGAACCTGCAAAAGTTTCAAAATCAATTCCATTTCCATATATTAAACATTATTTTCAACTCAAATTAGATGGCAGCAGAAAAGAAGAAACAGATGTTTGGTAAATGCATGTTGTGCAATTCCAGTTCACTTTCTCAATCTCCAGCTCCAATTAACTTATTTCATAAGAAACAAATGCCAACACAGTTTTATCAGTCCTCTTAGTGATTACATCTGCAAAGTTCTGCAAAGGGGCCACATTTATCCTCTCTAATGCCAGTCTTAAGATTACATTTTTATTTGTCACCTATAAAATCCAGTTGGGTATCAGCATGGGTATTAGTGAAGGATACACAAAGACCTACAAGCTCCCAACCTACAGGACCTTTAACACTGGTAGTAAAGAACCCTGCACAACTTTCAATACAACCTATCCCAAGACAGATTACACACTTTTTTCCTCACTTCCATTCTAAGCAAATGCAATGTCAAAAGCCATCACAGGATAACAAGCCAGTTTTACACAATCACTTTGCAAGTAGAACTTACATTTTGGTTATCATATTTCAAGCAGAAAGCAGCTGAATTATCTTTTACCATAACAACAAAATTACTCCTCACAGTAGAAGAAAGCTAAAAAATGGACGACCCAGTAAAATGACAGTAACTTTCAACTGGTCTCAAATAAAGAAAAAAGGTTCTCACCCACTGCCTTCATTTGTTTACCAATGGCTTGACATATATCTTTGGCAGCTGCAATCTGTGCTTTCTCCCCAAGTAAGCTGCCCACAGTTGCTCTCAGGATAAAGGACACGCATCTTCGAGAGTAAACTGCCTCCACGTGGGTCTGAGTTGCACGAGGATGGGAGACCAGATCAAGGACATGTGATAAAAATGTAGCAAAGTTGCGCTCCAACCACTGACCCCCTAATGTTGTAACAAAGACAACGTAGGCCTGCAAATTCAGAAAATACATACAGATCCGATTAAAACAGAAACAAAAGACTATATTCAGTCACCAAAGACTAAAAACTATAGTTATACTCATGCATAATGCAGTATAGTAGCAGTACCAGTTAGTAATAAGCAACCCTAATGGGGCTAAGCAGGATGAATCAATCCACTAGCCGGATCTTTGTCACTGAAGCTAAACTGTTTCCAGTGCCAAGAGCAGCTCCTACACTGCTACATATACTGTGAAGCACAAAACACTCTTTGGATGACAGCAAGAAAACGCAGTCCATTGCTCTAAATGTGTCTCTTTTTAAAAATTTTAAGAACATAATGTCAATAACAGCCCAACATGAACAGGAAAAACTTCTTCACTGAAAGAGTGGTCAGGCCTTGGAACAGGCTGCCCAGGGAAGTGGTGGAGTCACCAACCCTGGAGGGATTTAAAAGACGTGTAGATGAGGCACTTAGGGTCATGGTTTAGTGGGCATGGTGGTGTTGGGTTGACGGTTGGACTCAATGATCTTAGAGGTCTTTTCCAACCTTAATGATTCTATGATTCTATGTTCTAATTCACAATGAAGACCGGGCATTTTCGCCAAAGGCTGAGAAAAATAAAAGGGTTTCACAAAATACCCTACAATCCAAAAATCTGGATTCTGGCAAGTTACTGCAGCATATTGAAATACATGTCAGAGTGAGAATGTGTGAATTTGAAGAGATGCTGCTGCCACCTTTCTCTATCAGACAAGTGGAGCTTCCACATTCAGCAGGTTTCACCTACTCAGGACAGGCATACAGAGAGAAGAAACGCAGTTTAACAAATCAGGGCTGCAAACTTTACCCAGGAGCTGAAAAGAGAGCCAGCACACACAAAAGTACAACAGTGTGTCCTCTCTAAAAAGAAATAAAATTTAAATATAGAGCTAAAGTCTTTAACATACTAAGTTTTCACCTATTTTTTTCAAGTTAATCCCACCTAATATACACTGATCAAATAAGCTTTCCTTAGCACATATTTTAATCTATTGTTACTGCACATGAATAATAAAAGAAAGTAGCTTAGGTGAATGACACCACATGTACATCTCACGAAACAGGTCAGTCAAACTAGACTTGTAAGTGAACTTATAAATCAATAAACAACAGAAGTGTGTATTCTTCCTACTAAAAGGGTTACAGTTCTGTAAAAATGTTACTTTATTAAAAAAAAAAAAAAAATATTGCAGCTTATGACAAACCTGGGTAACACCAACTCGCACTTCCCTATTGACAGATCCTCCTACTTTTAACATCTCTCCACCACTCTTTAGGAAACCAGATCCCCCTCGCAGAAATCCTGTGGCCATTAGCTCCAAGACCTCCTCAAGCGTGGCTCTCTTCACATTCTGTCGCATCACTTTTGCAAAAAGAAAAGTAATCATTTAATCCCAAAGTTCCAACCAATACAAGCAATGATCTTGAAACCAGGCTTATCAGTTCTAAACTGTCCTGCAAACATAAATCTAGCCAACATTTCAGATAACAGCTTGTTTTCATGCTTAAAAAATAAGCTACTTTTCCCAGGTGATTTTTGGTAGTTGGCTCTCTTTTCCTTTGTATGACTACAACAGAGATTCTGCACTCTTTACTCTTTTTAGCTTAGAGCTTATAAAACCAAACAATCCACCTACAAGCTTCCAGCTACCAGAACAACAATGTATTGTGCAACGTTGTCATGTAACATGGTACCGAAGGTGCAGTTCGTCCACTTGGAAATGGAATCCAGAAGGACTTGTACCTGTTGCTTGTTTTGGTATCAGTGCTGTAGCCATGACCGTCCCCAAAAGCTTTGACACTGCAACTCGCACACCATAGTTTGAGTTTTCGAGAGCTTTAAAGCACAGCGTTGCAACATTCTCTAGTTCAGCTGTCCACATAAACACCGCTTCATTCTGTAATTCCAGCAGACACTGTAGGAAAAAAAGACTTGCTGAGCACCAACGGAGACCATTCTCACCTTTTATTTAAGTATCAGTGTAATTGTCACGTTTATTCAGCAAATATTTTAATATGAATATTTTAAGAGTTAATTTCCCCACACACACTCCCATTTACCCAATAACTTAGCTGAGTAAACAATCAGAAGACTCATGGAATAGGTTAATACATAAAAAATTAAAAGAGGAAAGCACAACAAAAGAACTATGTTACCAAAAACCTCTCCCACTGAGGTCACAGCTAATATATTCTATCTCGTTTTTGTTTATGGAGTGGCGAAGACAGTATTACAGTACCTTTGTTTACCTGAAATGAATCAAATGTCTAAGCCTTCAGTGTAAACTAGTAAGGAAGTACTTTGCCTAAGTAATTATCAAATTTCCTATCATAAACAACAGGTCACAGTTCAACTGCAGGTATTTCACAGTCACAGCACAAGAATTTCTATGACTGATGAGAAACACACCCACCTTAGCCACTGCGCATCGTACAGCCATAGATCTGTCCGTCAACAGAGATCGAGCATTCTTATAAATATCACGGTGACAAGAAGCTGCTGCTCCTCCAAGTCCATTTAGGACTTTCTGTAAACCCATCAGAATTTCACTGCGGCCCTGAGACTGCACACACACAAAAAAACATTTATGCAAGAATGTGGACACAATCCTTGTATCGTAAGAACCAGGTGCATAATTCTGCATTTTCCTGCTTCTGTGCAGGAGTATTTTTGGAAACATTGATAATATAGTTCACTGAAGTCATATACAACCAATACCTAGCTGGTTTTAGATAGCAGTAAGTACTATACACAGCTTTACTAGAACTGCCTCAGTTGTCACATAAATTAAGATGAGCCCAGGCAACCCAACAAATTGGCCCTAGACAAGATGCTTCTGTCCTGCCTCACCATTTATCTGCTGCAGCCTCGGGAAAAAAGAAAAAACAGTTGATATGAGAGAACAGGAAGCCCAAGTAGTCAACAGCTTCCTACTATACCTGCACACAGGCAATCACTTACAGTTGGAGGGCACAAAAAAAAAAAAAAAAAAAAAAATCATCACACAAGTACAACAACACAGCCAAAGAAAAGAGCTGCCAGGACAAGATCCACTCAATCAGTGTTCCTTCCAACTTGTTATAGATTTAAAAAACAAAAAGACCCCATACAAACGCAGCAAAGCTATTTGTGTCAAATCAGACCCACTGACAGCCCAGGACACATTCTCTCAACATTTTGACACACTTTCTCTTTTCAGAGCACAATGTATCCTGCTCACATGCAGAGTAACATCTTTGTTCCAAAACTTAAGTAATTTTTATTCATTTTTAAACAACTGAATGTTTATTCAGGGTACACAAGCAGAAATCCCAATGCAGTAGTTAGAAATGGTACATACAACCATTTTGCAATTTTAAGTACTGATGCCACTATGAAGAAACTACTATAATACCCATATGACAAAACTCTAAACTCTCTGCAGTAAAGATACATGCACATGTTTAACTGGATACCAACTATCTAAGTGATTTGCATTTTTCTACATAGAAGGCAAACAAGCCAGGCATTTTGACAGGAATTTGCTTTGGAGGAAGCAGGTTTCAGTTTAAATGGAATCAAGACCACATACATAAAATAATCTGAAACTTACCTCTGCACTTTTCAGAGACTTTAAAAGATTATTCACCGTTTCCGGAAAAGAACTACCCAGCATTCTGCCCATTTTTTCATAAAATGCTCCAACACATGCCACAGCAGCCCTATGAAAAAAGACATTAATCGGTGTACTCTTTTTCTGTATCATCTAAAGGAAGAAAAATACTTAAATAGAAATGTATGTTTTAATCATCATTGATGAATAAAAATCTATTTATTATCCACTATTATACTGGCTGTTTAACTGTGCATTTAAATCTTTTTTTTTGTTTACAAAAAAAGTAACAGAAAAGTTATCAGCTTCTAAGAACACAAATGTATTTGAACAGGTATTATTACAGGATCTACACATAGAGTGAAAAATTCTGGAGAAGACAAGCATGTGCTGAAATCTCAGCAAGATTAAGGTTTTGTGTTTCAATAAACTGTCTCTTTTCCAAGCACCTGCAAGATAGCCCCTACTCTTTAACATATCCTGACACATGTTTGTAGATACTGAATGATTTCAAGCCTAAGAACTTAAAATGAATAAATTATTGCATAACACAAGAAAACTTATAGGCACTGTAAAAGTCACTGGATCCATAAACAGTTATATACACCTTTGTGTATATATGGCCCTGCCATTTGAGATTAGGAATATTTTAAGTAATACTGTACTGCAGTTATATACACAAATTGCCCCAGGACAGTCACAGAAACAGCTCCTGAAAACATGCGCTTTTTCATCACAAGGAACAAGGCTTTTTTTTTTTAAATCCGAAATTCTTGCGTAAATGAATTTTTAGCAAAGCTGTTTGTTACAAACTCATTACAGCCTGCCCCTTAATGGGCATGTCTGCTACACAATTCTATACAAACATCAAAAACTGAAGTTTGAAATCATATAGTAAAAAACCTTCTGGACTACCACTTGAGTGGGTAGCATAAGTTTCAGAGCACGTTATAGTACAAAACCCTTCCCACTTACACAAGTTCCTCAGAGAGTTGCAACAGCTTCAAATAAAAGGAGGACAGTATCTGCCCAAACGGTAACTATTTCAGATTTTATTGTTAAATCCTATTGTTATGATAATGTCTGAAGGCAAGCCCAAACTGGGGTTTACTAGACACTGTGAACATATGAAGCAGTACGTGTAGGAAAGTACTAAAAAGTTTCAGCAGAAGCTGTTTGTGGCATTAACCAAATTCCTACCAGTGAGACTGCTCCCATTAGTAAAGACAAACTGGATCACACATACACGCACACACACATCCAAGTATACAGACTCTGTTTGAGAGACTTGTGTGGTATATCACAGCAGGGGAACATAAACAACGTTTGATGGGGGAAAAAAAACTTGAATATTTGGTTACAATTCTATGGGCATAGACAATGCTCTTGTTTGACAATCTGCAGGTTCCATCTTAAACAGGATACCCTGAGCACAATCAGTAATAATCCCACTGGTGGAATTTCTTCATGGCATTACTTCATTAACTGTTATCCTCTCCATGACATAAGCCGGGGAAGAAACCTAAGGCAGTCCCTTGCCCAGAGGAAAGCCATGTATGTGTCACCTTTGAGTCCTGCCCCCCACAATCTCAATCCTGCTCTGTTCTCTGCTGTATCAAGCATATGCGAACTCCAAATAAGCATGCAAAATATAAGTAAACATAACGTGCACATGTGCAGGCTGATTCTTCTGTAATATTCACGACCACTTTGCTTAAAAATCATTCCCCTTTCCCTAATAATATTAAACATACAGTTTTGTGGGCAGGTAGGCTGCAGTATCATCTTTGCTCTTGATGATGTCATTACACTTGTCAAGCGTCTGAAAAACAGTAAATGTGTCTCCAATGCTGTAGAGAGCAGCAAGATTTTTTGCTAGTAGTTTTCGCGTAGGTGGCCCAGGGGAACTGCTGATGAGTCCTGTCAGCTGTTCTACAAGTTTCTTCTGTTTTTCCTTGACATCTGTCTGTTAATGGATCAAAAATAAATAAAATAAGAAAAGTAATTTAATCCTGTGTCTTGCCTCCAACACCCAGAAAAATCTACAAGAGATTGAAGTAAATCTTATGCCACTCCCACTTGTATGCAATTCAGCAAATTGCTTGTCTCACAGAGATTTGAGATACATTCAATAATAGCAGAGACAGATGCAAAATGCTCAGAATTAGCTGTTACCCTATTTAATTTTTACTTTTTTAAAATACTTACTAAAAATACAGTAATACCTGCTAGAACATCTTTTAATCCTCTTTAACATCAAGAATCTCTACTCTGGGAGGGAAGGTTTTGCCTTCCAAATATTTACAACAAAGAAGAACTCAAACCAAGCTATGTGTTATATAACAAAGAGTCATACTGACTGCCTACATAATCCCACTGGTGGAATTTCTTCATTGCGTTACTTCATCAACTGTTATCCTCTCCATGACATACTTCACCAACTGTTATCCTCTCCATGACATGACACTTAAAAGATACAAACTAATACAGAGGCTCTTCAGGCTGAACCTGAAATCATGTAGTTATCACCTGGCCATTACCTGTCAACTTTCTCTACCATGAAATTAATACAAATGTTTTAGAAAGAAGGGAGAAAAAAAAAAAACCACAAAACATTAAATTACCTTATTAGCAGCTACCAGCACTTTATCCAAAAATCTTAACCACTCAAAGATAAAGACTGGTCTCTTTGCTTCTGTGATTTGAGCTAATGCTTCCTCGTTCAGTAACAAACTATGAGCCAGCTCCATAACTGGTTAAATTCCGGTTTTATTGTAAATTTGTGTAGTAACTCTAAAATAAAAATTTAAATATTAGTATAAAGTATAGTACAACAGTACAAAGCTTTGAAAATCAAATGAAAATATGAAGATGAAATCTACAGATTACAGTATCATGGTTCCAGCCTACTTAGACTTGTCTTAGCTAAGCAGTCCCACATAAAAACTACACGCATATTTACAACTGACTACCTCCATTATTATTTCAGGGAACAGAGTTGTTATTTGTAAAAAGAGCACCTACAGGCAACTTCAGGGTGTTAACTCTTAGCCAAGAAAAATATATTGAAGTCCCTGTTTAAAGAAAAAAAAAAAACACACAGACAAGGTAAAGGAGTCATCTCACTGTCTCCTTTCACATAAAACAGAATAAGGACGGTCCCTAATCAAGACCCTTGACCACAGTCCCGAAGCTTGGGCGTGAACCCGGCCACCTTCTCAACACCTTCAACAGACAAAGTGAGAAGGAGATGAGCCTATCACAAGTAGGAATTTCCACCCATCACAAATTTGAGAGAGGCAGGAACAGTGACAGCATTTGGCATGGCTGACCTAAGACTTCTCAGATCCCACTAGCCTTGCTTTAAGTGCTGGACAAATAAGCCCTCTGAAACCCAGCAAGCCATATGTGCGACAGCCTGGAATACAAGCAGCAGCCAAATGACTGCAACTCTACCCAACAGGCAAAATAGTACAGATCAAACGCTGGAGATCCTGCTCAAACAGCGCATGGGGGATAGCAACAAAGCATTACCAAAAGCACACTGTCAGTGTAAGCAAACACTCTGCATACAACTTAACCTTAGCAAACCACATTTAAACAAAGTGTAGCTGTTTAACGCAGAACAAATAGAAAAAACAAAACTTACCTAAAAATCACAAAATTAAGTCAACCATCTTCAGCAAAAAGAAACCCAAAAAGCAAAAAAAACCAACCCCAAAACCTGAATGCAGTGATGCTGAAACTAGGATCTCAGGCAAAACAGAAAAAGCAAAGCAACTAAGGAGTATTATGTAAGACATCATCTTTCGACAGCTGCACCGTTCCACTTGTGCTCTCAAGCAGCTCACAGCTGCTTCCTTCCTCCTTCCCAACAAATTCTTGAAGTCAAATGAAGTGATTTAAATCAAATAATTTTAGGTTTTTTTAAAACAGTCCCCAGATTAGACAGTAGTAAATCTATTTAATATTAATACCTATTAATACTACAACTGTATTAACTCAACTTAATGACTTGGTGCTGATGAAATTAAAGCATCACAATGTCTGTACTACTAAGCTTGTTCCCTGCTCTTTGGTACTTTGCATTATAATATTTTTCACTGCATACATCTCCGGTGACAGATCAGCAAAGGTGGAAGAGCCACATACGGAAGCACATACAGCCCTCCTGCGACCCCTCCAATGGCATCTTCTGGCTTTTTTTTTTTTTAAGTTATAAGGAATTGAGGAGGTATTGCCTATGAATAACGCACAGACACATCGCCCCAAAACACCTTTACATGAGAGCAAAGAGAAACGCAATGAGTGATGGCACTATGATTCTTTGGGTATCATCCCAGAGATCTACACTGCTCGTCACACCACCACAGCGCAGGAGTACTGTGTATGCACGTATGCCTACCCACCCCCCGCAGGCACGC